GTTTTCTCACTCCATTCTCCTCCCCTTGTCTTTCTGGTCAAATCAAAGCATAATAATAACCAAAATTGAATAAATAATTCTTTAGAATTACAGCCTAGTTCCTCATGTTGGCCTATGAAATTATGGGTTTCCTGGAACCCCATAATTGCTCCCAGTGATTACTGCTTGCTGGTACACAGATGATAGCATAATGACCTCCTCCTGGTTTGGACTGCACTTAGTTACTGGCTTCTAAACAAACAAAATAAATAAATAAAATAAATTAAAAAAAATAAAAAGAATAAAAGGAATGCTCCTATGCTCCTACCAAGAATGTGTTATGTTTGTGATTTCTGTCTGGCTCCCTCTCTCCTGTGTTTCTTCTGTCTATCCCATCCCTGAATATTGGAAATCAAACTCAAAATTTCAGTTGCTTTATGGTAAGGCTCCACTGGCAAAGAATTAACAGAATACCCAAGCCATAAACAAGAATGTATACTCCATTCCAAACAAACCTGCCAATAACTCATGATTTCGGAAACTGATCCTGCTTCATAAGGGCCTCAGCTGAGACCACAGCCTCATCCTCCTGAGACACCTGGAGGCAAAAGCAACTGGCTCAGCTGGGCCTGGGTTCTGGTCCACACTGGGTAAGGATGTCACAATACAAGATCTATGTAAGCGTCAAAATTTGGTGTAAATTTGTCTCACAGAAACAGAGACTAGTTAAGATTTCCAGGCCCTGAGGCCTGGTTCTATCCTGATTTCTCCCTCCTTTTTTCTTCTAGGCACCCTCCACCCACACAGGCTGTGTTATAACTACCTTTCTGGTCTAATTTATCACTTCCTCCTAGTCTCTGGACAGCTGAGCCTCTACCCTGAAACATTGCTCATGGATATGTGTATGGTTGACTTCACTTATCTTCCTGGTCAGAGCAAAATTGTCATTTCATTGAGGCCTTTCCTAGCTGCCAACCAAGTGGCCCCAAGCTCTCCATCACAACACCTGCTTAGTTTCACTTGAGCACTTTGTGTTTTTATTCAACTCATTCAGACAGTAAACTTCTCCAGGCAGAGATTATGGTTTTTAGTGCAACACCAGGGTTA